GCCGCCTTCTGTGCGACGGGCATCATTTATTGCTTGTTTTGAGTGAATTTTGATTTTTCCGTTGACTGACTGGACTGAAATATTCAACCAATGGGGATTGTAGGCACGCCCAGATGACGAGTTCTGAATAAGACGAGATAAGCATAATGGATTCAACCGCTATTCACCACCCACCCAATTACTTTAACCTAATCCACAAACTTTGTCAGAGCGTCTCTTTCAGATGCCGACATATCGACAAAAGTCAATCCTTTCTGCCTAATCAATCGACAGGAAGATCGAGATCGATACAAAGTAGACATTTGATTACACGTGAATAAAAATTCAAGTTTCTGAGTCTAACGCTGTATTCTACTAATGATTTGCAGTCTACGATAACTTCGTAAAGTTTCTTCGAAATGCATGGACGACGAGAAAGGATCTGTATACAAAAGCAGGTAAGTCAACATGGCATTGCTGTTGTTGTTGTCGTTGTTTCAAAGATATTCGATGTAAATGATAACAGCATTGCCACAGATTCTGTTCCCATGTTTTGGTCTGTGCTTATTCATGATGCTGACAATAAGTGCGACAGTCATTGAGAATACACAAGTCGACAAAGGGATCTCCTCTTGTAACTTTTATTCACAGCTCACTAGTTTATTAAGGGTAGGTGTATGCAATGCTAATTAACAACACAAGTCACTGCGTTTTGTCACTTGGTAGGAAAATTAATCAGAGTGTATGAAAAATAACAATGTATGAAGCAGAACTCAAAAAGCTATCGTAATCACAGCGGTTGTCAATTGAAACGTTGTATGATGAGTAGACATTTGGAAATGATTGAGTGGGAAATACGAGAACTAAGAACTGAAAACATGCCAGAGAAATTGACTGACTACATAGAGTTTGGAAAGTACTTCGACATCGTGCACTTCATTGATGGAAATATTTATTGACCTCATTGGAGAGCTCAATCAGAATGCCACACTTCGCGGGAACTACAAGAAAAGACTTCCAAGTAAAGACAGGAGTAAAAAACTTCGAATATTATCGTCAATGTCAATTCTGATTGTGTTAAAAAGGATCACTCGGCAGAATTCAGAGAGCGATAGTGTCACGAAAATTCGAAAACTTGCAGATAATAATCAACGATTTGGTGGAAGTGGTACGAAGCAAAATCGGGACTTCGAATGAACACGGAGACGACGGATGTCATGAGGATAACCCAACTATCAATCAACCAACCAACAACAACAGCCAACACCGATCACTATCAGTAGGAGGAATGTGAAATGTGAGCAGGCCAGGAAGGACTTTTACTGTTAGTTGTTTATTCCGTTCGTTTGTGCTTCGAGTGGAAGATACTGTGTCAAGCTTATTCTTCGAAGTTTAAATAACTGTTGCGTTTTCTGCATAGTGAAATTCCTGGCCTGACACACATCCTTTCCCCTTTTCTGATTGGTTACATTCATACGGGTGGGGCAAGGCTGCGCGTCGGCAACATGCACGTTTGACGTGGATTCCAGCAGTGAGCCCCGAATAAGCCGCAAGCAACTTTTGGAAACAAACTCGCGCTGAAGAGACCGTTGAGTGAAATGATGCGACAGGCCATCACTCAATTGCATATCGGACGGGAGACATGTTTGAGTGGAAGTTAGGAACATAAGAGATCTCTTCACTAACTTAAGAGTTCCTAACCAAACGACATAGTAGTAGGAGCAGTACATATATACTGAAGGCACTTGTGGAGAAGAATAATTTGCCGAGTATTTATTTGAGAAGGATATATATTTTGTGCGTCGAATGACTGCCAGTGAATGTTTGCAGGTGAATGAGCATTAGCCTGTTCTGTTAATAGAACACTGATTTTAGTAGTAGTAGTAGTAGTCATATCACGAGAAGCAATATCAAATGGAATTTTAAAATAATGGGAAATACAGTCAATTAGTTGCTTGATGTAAATGAGTTTTAACTCTACACTGGAAGACAGATCCAATTAAGCCTAATTGCTCAAAACTACTCATCACATAAAACTCCTCGAAATACTTCAAATATTTTGACCATTCTTCTCACTGACCTGGATCCAGTCAAAATTAGTGACTGTCGACTCACAATTACTAGTTATGATCAAATACTCTTTCATGAAATAAATTTTACAAAGCACATTCTAAGTCTAATCATTTTCATTGTGTGTTTTTTTTAACTGTGAGATACATTCATGATGTTTTCTATTAATAGCTTCGTACTATAAAGCTGAGGATAGGTCTGAGAATGCACATCCAAGTGAGTAATCGGAAATATTTGTTTGTTCACATTGAATTTCTTGAGATAATGTAGAGGTATGATTTCGGCTTAAACCAGTCAGAGAATCATTGAGAATAAGCATGGTGTACTGGACATCCGTGACCCACATTTCAGGACTCTTGAGCAGTACGCACCTCACGAGTTTCGTTCCAATGACCTTTCAGTTACAAGACATAGGTGTAGACCTTTCACCCACTGTGAAATGACCCAATGATCCGTGAATTCCTACTCCAATCAATGGTGGCATATTAAGTAACTAATTTGTGATCTTGGGTAACAGGTGTTTTATTTTCTCTTCCTACCATGTGTTTATTGCTCTTTCGGAAGTGAGATTCCAATGTATACTTGTCGCAGTGGGATTTGTCTTTATGAGAATGAACAACTATCGTTAGGTTACCTGCAGTGATGACTAACAGGCAGTAGTACTGTTGTGTGGCAGGGGAGTGAAGATCATCACCGAGACTGGTCAGATTTGACTGTTGTCTTACATAGACGAATACGTCTGATGTTTTTGAGGACATAAAAGAAAGACGTTTCTCAAATATGTCCTGTCAGAGTGCAAACAATCCAAATTTATTCAACTTTCTTAGTTCACTTCGTAAAGGATTTCGAAGGCAGATGGGTTACTGAATGATTTCAGTTTTGAAAGATTTATATGAAGTAATAATGTATTCATGTATTCAGTGTGAGAAATGTGGAACAATTGAATTATATGCGAGGAAATTGCGCATATGTTGTAGGATACTCGGTTTTAACTCAAGCGATGGTCTTGTGTGCCATGTCACCCAACAGTCTAATCAACCTGTGTCCGATAAATCTCCACTTTCTTCTGCATATTTGCTGAGTGATAAGTTCTTGAATGGCTCGTTGCGAGAGATTCTTTGTGCCTATCCCTGTTATCTGGCTATTCGATCTTCAGTATGAAGTCAGCAAACGCAGCTGTTGATAACATTCTTCATAGGCTGTTTGAAATGCTTTTGACGACACATCAAGTGCCTCAGGAATATAGAAACTGACTTCAAGTTAATGTTAGAAATCCAACCTTCGTTATTCATGCTGACAGCGGCAGTGTTCTAAACTGATTTCAGAGTTCTAAAGGTGTGAATAATCCTTCCGATTCTGAATATCTTTGACAGTCATAGATACATTCAGAAGTTGACAGCTTTCAAATTTCTTCACTTTATATTGATTGGTGCTGGTTCTTGTTTTCGGTTAAGTAGATTGTTCACTTTTATCTACTCTCGATATTCACTCAAAGTCCTCTCTTCTCTGGCTGCTTTTCCTGACATCGTGTTGGCTTTGGCGTAGAAGTCTTTATATTTTTGTGAAATTAGACATAAATCATCCTCGAAGTCTGCATCTCCAAGCATCCTCTTATCGGTCTAATATACTACTGTCTTCCGGCTCCCTACAGTCTCCGGAATGATCGAGTACACCACAGACAGAAATATCAGAATTGGCAGTAAGAAATGGTTTTTTACACCTGTCTCTGCTTCAGAGGAGTCGCCGCGATTCCTGTTTTGGATCATCTCATGCCTATTGTTGACACAAAGCTGTTGAATTTGGTTGGTGAATCTCCTTTAAAATTCTTCAGGAAGATATGATTCAACATAATTTAGGAAGCATTTAAGGCGTGTACAGTTTTGTCATATACGGAAGAAACATTTGGAATTCTACGCAGGTTTCCAGTATAAGATTGTGACTGGCGCTGGAATCTACAAAATCACTCAGAGAAGCTGTGCAAGCTAAAAGAACCTATTCACTCAATTAGAGAAGAATAATTCTATGTACAAAAAGTACCTTCGATTGACTTCAATGTCAGCTATACAGCTGCGACCAGTGCAATTCGTTGCAGTCAGTCAATAAATCGAATCACACGGATTGACTTCAGTGAAGAACGGTTGACCCGAGTAGGAGGGAAACCCTAAGGGGATACAGTCAGCAATCGCAATACACGCAATGGAAGATAGTCGATGACACATTTATGTGATTTCTTTGCAAACGCGTACTGAGTTCACACAGAGTAAATAACAACTATGTAAGTGTTTGCCTGATATACAAACACAGACATACAATATTAACACCTCATGTTAACAAACACTTCAAATTTATACGTTTACTCGAACTCACAAACAATTTATTTCAAATTTCACCTAACAATACTGAAATGACACTCTCCTTAAAATTGACGTTTGCTCTTCATAAGATCAACTAATGTTCGAAGACAAATTGGGGAAACCTATTGAAAAGGAATTTATCAAATCAAGAGGTAAACAACTGTTTGAACAAATGTTAAATTTCAAACACGTATCTCACTTTGTTATTTCGAATCAAACTGAAGCAATTATTTGAGCTAGGACAAGGTGAGTGGTTGAGAGGACTGTCGACTGGCTGAGGATGTTGTCTAGTAAGCCGATGAGAGCTCCTCATCTAAACCATCAAGCACAGTGAACACATCTACACGAGAAAACACTCATCCAACGTGGATATGTTATCCTACCATAATGACTAAATTCTACTCGTAAATTAACTACAATAACTGAGTGGGTAATTTCTCACACATGATGAATAATTACCCTCATCTGCACATGCCTCTCCGCTCAAGTGTGTTTGCGTGCGTTCGGACTGAGCAATAATATGAGGACTCGAAGAACACCCATGGAGATCACTAATTTCATGTTGACTGTTTGATTGGATTACCTTGCAGTTTGCTTCATTTCATTTTATGGCTTTTTGTCAAGATAATGCTGAGCGGAAATGTTTGCGAATGTCAGGAATGCAACTGGATCAAAATGGTAAGTTCCAGTTTGTTTGATTGTTTGTTTTTGATCGACACATAGCTGCGTCAACTGACGTGCAAAATCAGCAACATCATCAGATAACACTGACACCTGCAATAAGATCAACATATTGTTTGTGGTGTAATGTGAAGTCTGTGATTCCTGATAGTCAGCACGAAGTCTTCTTGTGACTGATATGCAAGTGTGTTAAATGGCGGTAGTGAATCTGAATTCATCGTACCTAACATGAGAACATCTATACTGACACCAATATTACTTATACGCATCTGAAATGCTGTGATTCATCCATTCACCGATACATCTATCCATGCATGCATTTCATACGTGATGAATATTTTACCATCTAATTATTGTGATTATTCCCTTTGGTTCTGAGTGGAACCTTAGACTTGAAAAGCATATTTCGACTTACACTGTTTTCTGTCGTCATCTTTAGCAGAAACCACGAATCCTCATTTCTCCTTATCTCTTCTTCACTGGAATTAACGCTCAAATCGTCGCTCCTTATTCAGGCTGCACTTGAGGGTTTTTCAGACATGTGTGATAACACTGAACATTCTCCTCAATGTGTTTCTGATCCATCTGTATTTCCGTCCGCATGTTCGTTAGGTCACAGTTTCTTGGAATTGAACGTAAATCCTATGTGACGTTCAAGTCTGTCGAGTAATCACTGACGAATATATTATGCACTTAAGCAGTGACACTCCATTTCCAATTCTCTGAAAATATGTAAATCATTTCTGTCTTGGACAAAGCAGCTGTTCACCATCTACGAGATTTCACCAGTTCTCTAACTGATGGCAAGCAGTGATATAAACTAATCCCACATCCGTCTATTTACTCAATATTACCTACCCTCTAGGTGAATATGGAACAAATGTCCTGTGTATCAACTTGTATGAGAGGTTTAGCGGTAGAATTCTCGCCAACTAATCACGTGGCGTGAATCTGACGATCAGCGAATGCCGTTAAAATTACACCTCAGCCTCTGAAACATAAAGATTTCAAGTTCTCTTGGGACATATTCTCCACTCAGAGCTGAAGGGATGCAAAACACATATCTACTTGTCACTCATAGATTTTGAATCTCAATACCTTCTTTTATCCTGTGTACCTCCTAACCAATAATATAAATATCCTCATATATTTTCTCAGCCACCGATCAATTCCTGACAAAATCATATTCGAAAAATGGACCAATGTCTGAATTCAAAGATGCTGTTGGTAAGCGACGAATTGTGTGCTTGCAATCCTTCTACCCTCTTCTGTGAACCATTTCTAATTACTGACAACACTTTGCTGACTAAAACAAAGAAGGCCTGTGTATATATGCAGGACACACTTAACTCACCCACATAACACATTCTGATAGGCTCTAACATCATACTTTGTAGGAAATTTCACTAGGATATGATTATCATAGAATATTCAAGAATTATTCTGTAAGGAATTGATTTCATTCAAAGTTGATCGTAATTTGATATCCGTAAGAGTGTGACCGGAGATTATCAAGAAGTACTGAACAGATGTTCCTTCCTATTTCGGAGTTGTTCTTCAGTATGCTCTCACAACCCCACGACCGATCTTCAGGCGATGAGAAAAAGCCTTTGAGACATTCAACGGATAGTAGCCATAGTCCATCGGCTCTTGAATTCTAACAAGTAGTAATTCGTGATGTTATCGCATCCGCTAGCCAATGTCGTAGACGAGTATTTGTCCTCGCACTTCACATGGTGAATCCCATTGGTTGGGACTTGTCAATAGAACTCCAGTCAACTTCGTCATATAGGCAATCACTAGCGAGCTTCATAACCTGGAGGTCCTTGGTTCCACCGCCGACAGATGGGCGCATGCGTGTGAACTGTCGGTGTATCCCAAACTTGGAATGGACATTCAGCTGGCCAGCACTCCCAGCTGCTTTTCAATGGTTCTCTTACTGATATCAATCCGTGATCCAAATATGGAACAAATCGAATCCCTGCAAACTATATCTTGGAAGTTAGGTCATTTGTCTATCCTAAATTGAAAGACCTTATTTATGTGGTTGATTTATGTCAAGCATAATAAACACATTGAGTGGTAAAAGTGTTGGATAGACAAACAACATTTAAGCAGGCTAATGCGATGACACGAGCGATGAAATAGTAAGTGAAGAAACAATGAATTACCAAGACAATCCAAGGTGGATAAAAAAATCCTGCTGTACGCGTAAATCAGGCCATGATTTTTGGATTTCTGTTACTTCTGTATGTCGTAGTAACCTCCTACTACTGTCTTTTTACACATCGGAGGGCTACCACCCAGTCTTCCACCTTATGACAATAATTTTTGAAAATTTGCAGAAATCCTTTTCTTATGCAGCCTCTCAGTTCTTCCTGTATAAATGGTGCTGCAAGTACAGGTAAATGAATGAATTCAGTTTCAGGTTTCGGGAGGCACTCTCACATCCAGATTTGTTTCCCTGAGCATGTTCTTCGTGTTGTAGAATACTACTACTGCTACTACTACTACTACTACTACTACTACTCTAGTACTACAGCTACTTCTAATTTCGTAGTGGGACACGCTACAGCGATGCATGTATTCCGCAGTCGGCAAATATCTCGTGAACTCATTTTGCCGCCTGTAATGAATATCAATCTGAAGAGTGCATTCTTCCTTTGTACAATTATTTCAATCAATTTCTCATTATTTCACTTGGAATATTCACTGATAAACTTGGTGGTGTATTCACTGTCAATGGCTATTTTTCGAATTCGACACAATAATTCATCGATCAGCTCTTTAGAACACACGATCCAGCTGCCAGTGAGAAGCAAAGCACTGACCGGATTTCTTTTGTAGTGAAATAGGACAGAAGCTGTTAAGTGGTGAATACTGACCTGTCCAGTCGATGTCTCTTAAATTCCATTTGATGATATATTGCTCTTTTCATTTCTTAGTAAAATTGAGCTCTTAGGCATGTCCATTTCATTCTGTTTGCTAAAGTTGTCTTCATCTTACTCCATGATTGCCCATTAGCCTCCGTTTACTCCTTACACCATCTTCTCACTGCCACCTTCAATCGTTCAATTCACTGCTTTACATTCGAATTTCGTTAGACACCTGGCATGGCGCATTATTTCACTAAACTGTCTCCTCAGCGTGTGAGCGGTCCATTTCCACTTTCCTCTGTTTATTTGTTTTGCACAGTTTCTTGATTGGTTCGTTGCTAGAGTTTCTTGTCGCTCATCTATTTGGATTATCTGATCTCCAGTATGGAGTGAGCGAAGTTAGCAGTCTGTTGATTAAAGTCTGGAGTAGCCCGTTGAAAATGCCTTTCATAACACGTGAAGTCTCTCAACTGTGAAGAAGAACTGAACGACTTCACACTAGTACTGAAACTCTGAAACTTGTTCTTTGTGGTTAGTGCAGGAAATTTCCAAAGTGACTTCAGAGTAATGAAAACCTGACCAGCTTTGACGTCTCCATCCGTGCCAACTGAGTGTACTTGAAACGATGCTGGTTGTCGAGAAAAATGAAAGAAGCAACTTCCTTCAAATTTCCCCAACTGACAGTGATTGGTGTTTCCTGTTGTTGTTGGTGTTTGGTTGGTTGGTCATCTTCTTCTTCACTATCTTCTCTGTGTTCATGTGAAATCGTGTCTACGCTACATGCCTCTTCTTCTAGCTTGTTGTATTTTGCCTGTATACCTTCTGGTGTATCTGTGACATTTGTGTGAACTGAACTGAATAGCTGGAAACGATTCTCTGCTAGATTTTCACTTTCACACATGTTATAAACTTCTCACCAACATATGTTGAGTACATTTCTATTTTGGCTTCATTGTATCATTTAAATGTTGGAAAAGTCTTCCAACCTCTCTCCCACCCTCTATCCATCTCTATCTCTAAGACTCACTTGAGCCACCTGACATGGTGGTCACATTGCACACTTGATTAATAAAATTCACTATGTATCAACAACACGGACGAGACATAGTACAATCATTTTCACTCAGTGTCCAGTCAGAGGATCCATTACTCCATAAGAGGAGCTGGATCGCAAGCCTGAAAAGCTCAGTAATAACATCTTTGACTGCAGGTGGCGTTGGGTGACCAAGAGTTCGAATCTCAGAAGAGAAATGAGTCGTTCCTCCAAGATTGAAGATACGCTATTGCTGAGTGGTGAATGGCAGGCAACACAACAAGTATGACACGGTAGTGTCAGGCAGAGCTTTCTGCCTGCCGTTTGCCTCCAAACATAAAATGACATTTATTCTTATCAGGATTCTCAGAGTCCAGATATAAACTCTGTAATGAGAAGCAGGAGAAATAGACAATGCGCTATTCAAATATTCACCAGTTTTTTTATTTGATATCCGCTCAATTAATATTTCTCCTTGACGTTATTTCACATGTTTAGTTCAACTGATTTCTGAAGTAGAAAAGGTTGAGAAGCAAAGAATTCACGGGATTACCAGTAGGTTCACATTTTACTCATATAGTAATAAATGCATTTATGTTTAGACATGTCAACAATGAGTATTATCAGAATAGTTTCCGATGCAATGTTTCGCGAGGCTCGTCATGAATTTGGTATGTAATTCAGAGGTTATTTGCATATGATTCATTTTGTTGTAAGATGAATATTTCGCTGCCTTTTGATTATTATTATTATCATCACTATCATTATTATTCACTCAGTTAATGCTCAAGTTCTGAAGGAAATATAAATCCTGAGATGTGTGCTTCCCCATTGGCCTCGGTTCTCTCCCTCTGCGAGCACACTCAACTAATCCCGGAGACGACAATGACCACCACAGATTTTCATTCACTCTTCATCTAATCTTCTCCACGTCACTCTAGGAAGCCAGGCTAACACATTTTTTATATTTAAACTAGAGTCGAGGGATTGGTATGTGTGATGTTAAACTGTCGTCTTCTTAGAGTTTATATAATACATCAACATTTACTTCGGAATATTTGTTGAGCAAACGTTATCCGCCTGTTGGTTCGTTGACGAAGTTTCTCATTGGCAATCGTTTCTAGATGGCCATCCAGCTGTTGATAAAATTCTTCAGTATCCGGTTCGAGATGACTTTTGTAGCACTCCAAATTCCTGACGCATGGAGAAGAATTGACCCAACATTGGTGTTAAAAATTGGAATGATGTTGTTACCGCTGAGTGGTGCAGAAGTTTCCAAACTAATCTTTTAGTAAAGAAGTTCTTTCAAGCAATTCTGATTGTGGTTCTGAAATCGTTATCCGTTCATCCTGTAGTTGAAATAATCCTGCACCTTTGATTCGACACTAGTAACTAGAGTAATTTGTCTAGTCCTTTTGAGATGCAGACTGAAATCTGTCATTCAGGTTTAGGATGCCTTTAGTCAGATCGCCATCACGGCGCACACTGCGTAAGCACTTCCACTAGGGCATTTACGTCCGTCGTCATCTGATTTCCAAAGCTGTCGTGTAACTATCTGGTCTTAAAGTGCTTTGATTTCATTGGAAAATCGGTATTCAGTAGCAGTTCTGTGTCTTTTGGGGTTATTTCTTGACAAGTTGCGGGTGCTGATTAATTTAAGAGTCCTGTGAGGTACTGAATATGGAGTTCTGTCTGGTTGATTTCCTCTGTAAATGGATTCCCTTCACTATCAATCACTGTCTCCGCCAGTGTCGATCTTTTCTTGAAAGTTATTCTGATGCTCGATGGCTACTGGATGCAGGACAACATTGTCTTGAATTCTGATGAGACCTTATGACCAATGGGGCCCACCTGATTGGAAGTGAGGGCAGATACTCACAGATGAGACTGGCTGCATGTGGTGCGAAAAATCATGAGCTGGTAGAAGTTAGAGTTCACAGACTGAACATTAGGTTGAGTGTGGTGGTTGAATGTTCAACTAGCTTCTCCCGTTTATTCGAGAGTTTGAACCACAGTGGTGTGCCTACTGATGGTGATGAGTTCAAAACCACGACAAAACAGCCAGCTGTTCAGTACTCTCACCTGGTTGTCAATAGTTCTCTAACTGATATCAATCCATGGTCAAACTTGAAACAAGTCAAATGCGTTCAAATTTTCTCTTGAAAATTGAGTCAATCCACCACTATGTATACATATTACTCCATCTTTCTTCACAGGTACGAAAGATGAATGAAACACAGTGGACATGGACTGTTCATTAACTGATAAATTTTTATTCTGTGGTGATGGTGGTGTTTTACTAATTCATATCAATAAACATTTTCTCATTCTCAAAATCAGTTGTGCTTACAACCAGTCGTTGTGTCTTTCATATAATCTACTTATATGACTGAAGTTTAACCGATGTGTTATTGTGTAAACGCAGGAAACCAATCCTCTCGTTTCGCTGAATAGCTGACCAAAACTAACTTGATGAAGAAACAGTAGAAAACTGTCACGATGGTAGTTAAATGAAAGTTATTTGTGATGAAATCTCAGTTACCACTAAACTTTGATAACATATCAAAAGTCGAAATTACCTCAAGAATCCCGTAACGCAGCAGTACACATCGCATTCCTCATTAGTTACAAACTAAGTACTGTAAACCATAGGAATCTAGAAGAATATCGCCAGCAAGGAGGGATCGATACTCGGTCAGCAATAGCCACTCACCAAACACTCCCAGCCTGCACTTACAGACATACTCAAAATTCACAGAGCGAAGCCTGATCACATTCAAACAAGATGTCAGTCGTAGAAGCAGAAATTGTCAATTTTATCACAAAAAGACAAAGTGAAGCACTGAAATTACAGATTGAAAAGGAAGAAAGACATATACTGAGAGTTAAGTCAACAGATGACAGGCAAATGTCAAAACAGCGATATGCAGTCTAAGAGAAAAACGGCCAATAATTACGAAGTGGGTTGTAATATCTACGTGAACACCAATATTGTAATCAGATTGGTCAGGACAGAGGTTTCCCAAACAATCATCTTGTAACAATAACCACTATCAGACTCTTGTATATCGCTCGGTCGGGAATAAATCCCATTTTTCACGTCCGTAAAATATGAAATGTAACCACTGAATATTCTGATTGATGAAATTAAAACGAGACATAGGCGAACAATATTGGTTTGTCCATACAAGGCCTACATTTACAGGACACAATTCCTCAGTCTCGTAGTCATCCAACATGAAATCGAATTGGTCAGATGCCTCACAAATAGACCAATAAGGATTTGCACCGATAATTCTACGGAAAATGCATTAGGATACACAAACACAACGCACTGGTTCGAATGAGTTATCCTAGTTGATATGTTATAAGACACATGGGTATTGTGTAAAACTAAAAAGAAACATCTTTCCCCTATGCTGCTGTCACCACTTTCTGTTTGTTGGTTTCAAACCGGTAAGTTATAATTGGTCAGGTGGAAGATAAGCTCACCACCCATCTAGATCTACCACTTCTCCGTGCAATATAAGTTCGACTGCTACTGTAGAGTAAGCGTCTTACATGGCGGTCAACTAGAGACATTCAAACAAACTTACTTAAAAGACGCATCTTCTTCTGTGGTCGAAGAAAGGCCAAACAAAATTCGTAAGAAGTTCAGTTTCATCTCATTTGATCTTTGATGATTTTGACGATGATAGCAATCAGTAAGAGTTCACTTCCTTCACTTACCTAGGTAACAAGCATCGTTTCAACTACATGTGGTGTAGTGTGCGGTACTGAACAGTTTTATCGGTAGTAAATGATCAGACGTTGGCCTGTTTTAAAACATCAAGTAGCTGGAGGATAGATTTGGCGTCAGAGACAGAGAGAACAAATTATTCAGAGTTGAGAAGAAACATGGGAGACGTGAAAGTAACACAAAGAAACACAAAATGAAGGGAGGACGGAAGTAGCACAACGCTGAAAATCTTTGCAAGTGTTGATTTGCAGATAAGGTGTACATCATTTCGTGATATAGCGAGGACAAATTGAAAATAAGCATTCCTTACCGAATCTCTTGACTTTTAGCGTTACAATTGGTGTTGCTGCCTCCAGACCACGAAGATACAGTGGCCGGCTGCTTTTGAGTAAGGAGGCACATGGAGATTCTTGCTGAAGTCTAAGGCCGTCGCCGTGTTGGTGGGTGTCGGGGATCTTGAGACGAAGGCGGTCGTGGTGGGGACAGTACCGAGAGGCCGATCAAAGGCAGCGTGCGACAGTGTGGTGTTCAGTGAGAAGGAGACCAGGTAGGTTCTGGTTGAACGATTGATGGTAGAGTTCGAGACCTGTTTGTTTTGGTGGTGAATCTGACTGATCTAATACGTTGAGCACAATTCTAGCCGCCTCAATGTAGCCAACGAAATTGAACGAATGGAAGGAGAAAAATGAAGATTTGCAGTGTGAAGTATCAGTGCTATGAATGATAGGCAGAAGTGACTGATGCTTTCAATGTGGTGGAGCAGGACACTGAAGGAAGTGGTCTCTAGAAAAAAAGGAGACGGAAAGATTATACGGCATCTTTGTATATGTTCTTTATCACCTTTCAGACCAGAATTTGTAGGGATAATTGAGAAGGAGGACATGTGTTCTGCGTTTGTAGTGAATGGCCGAGATGCAGTATGCTGAATTGATACAAGGACGACAGTCTCACTAACAGATAAGAATCTATGTCAGAGCGTCAGACCATGTTCATTGAGAGTATCTCTGGAATGTCAAACAATAGCGTTTTTTGGCGACCGCAACGTAACGCTTCCGATTATTATTGTGTCCGAGTCATGGCAAAGTATATTTGGCGCTGATTTTCTGCAAGAGGTTCGTGCGAAAATTCACACGAAAGAGATGGCAGTGATTAAGAAGCACGGACCCATCATCCTGTATTAGAGAAGCTAGATAGCAGGGGTTAAGGAGTCAAGAGGTTAGAATATGACAATAAAGGTTGAAGAATACGATCATTTATTCATTGGAGATGGAGATCCCCATGGTTATTGTGGTATTCTGAGGCATAAAAATCCAACTGGGCGGTCACAAAATGTCACTGTCCACATCGCGAAGTGTCTCTTGTCAATTAGATGGCGACGTCGAGCGACAAGTAAAGGAGATATTTCAGGACCATATTATTGAACAAGTTGACAGTCTGTATAACCCTCCAGTTCCTCTGGTGAAGAAAACATATAGGAAGTATAGATTCTGCGTTGATTTCCAACAGTTAAACAGCATGACAGAGCTGAGACCGTGTGCCATGCGAACTGTAGTAGAAACATTCGACTGTCTACATTGCGCTAATTTGTTCTCAGTGCCCGACCTCCAGTCAGGATTCTGGCACATGACGATATAACAGAGTGAAGTGTTTGAACTGCGCATCAACAAAACGAAACCACACATGGCCAAACGGAGCGTTGCACTGTTGGGTCATAAGGTAGGCAGCTGTGAGGTGAAATACTTACCGGAGAAAATCCTTTCATGATGAAGAACGTTACGCCCCCGAATTCGAAGTGAAAGCTAAGTCAGTTGCTGGTTGGAGCAGCGTTTTACAGTCGATTTGCGAAAATTTTCAACGAGATAGCAGTCTCCGTGAACAGGCTATGAGGTGAGCTGTATTCAAATCCTCATAGATATTCTAAAGCTATCTCACAATTCCACCGGCAACAACCATGAACTTTAGTAAGCTAAACGAACGAATTTCTGGAGACCATAGACATCCTAATTCTCGCGATTACTGATTCTGGTTTTCTTCTTGATAAGATTTTGCTGGACAGCATTAAATATCCCTACTCGACTGTATCCCTTTGGGGATCACACCTCTGATGTTTGGATAGAGTCGCCAGCTAACTATTCAGCCACCAGTGTTGTGGTGTGATACAGACAATGTGTTCTGTCGCAGTATTATTCTCACATATTCTGACAGTTCAATACTGCACTAGCGACAGTACACGATATATTTGTATATTTGAACATTTTACTTCACGTTGTCAAAAATAGACCAAAGTCACACTCTCAGTGATTGGTTAGAGAACATAAAATGGTGTGTATATAAACAGCGGTTTGACCACTTGAAAATAGGCTTTGGCTTCCGTGTCTTGCCTTCTGGTGTTACAGTATGACTATAACGAGACCTGAAATCATCAAGACTACTCAGTCACCAGTGCCAACTCATTGAAATCTTAATTACGCCTCCTTGTCTACAAGTTCACTGTTCTAACATTGTTGTTAGATAAACGACTATCATTCTTTCCAACGCATTTTAGTAATTCTTCTATAAACTGAGTTGTTCGCTTCACTGACCTCAATGTATTGACTTTCTCTTGCTAAAATTCTGAGAAATCCATTTCTTTAGCACACCTATAATTATTATGGGGGTTTGTAGTGTTGATGTTATTTATCGATCATAGTGTTGTACACATGTGATCGTTTGCACAGTAATCTCTTTATGACCACATAGACTCGTGACAGTTTAGTTTGTGTTCACTAGATAAGGTGATGCAGAAAATAAGTGTCGATATCTGAGACGTTTATTGATTTATTTTTGATGAATACAGTGAATCGAAATAGGCGAAATCATTTGGTACGTTTCTGGTCGGGTAGGCGGTATTTACAGTGATGTGTGACACAATCTGAAGTCAAATAAAGTGGAAGCACTCAGCTTTTCCTTTCTACTTTGTGTCTCAACCTTCAATTCATCCGCATTATCAGTTCGAATGGATCCAGGTCAGTGTTACCGCATGCATCATTTTATTTTACAGAACTGGTTCATCACAACTCGATACGCGAAATTCTTATCACAGTAAAATACGAATAAATATATACATTTAAATATTTCATGCAGTAAAACGGTCGCATGATCTCTAGATTGAATAACTCTGTTCCATGTACACTTGTGAAAATGTGTCTTCAACATATTTGTCAATGAATAACTGGCATAATAATGCGAAAAGAGATTTATGTTAAATTTAGTCGAATGTTTCCATAGGAGACACACTGGTGAATCAGGATGATGAATCATGGATTTTCATTCACTTTTATACTTCTAACCTACTACGAAAACTGTCTACTGCATATCTTTATGGATTTATCGAGAGAAGTCTTCCAAACAGCTTTACAGTACCATGCTGTCATTCATAAACATTGAAGTCTAGTCGGAGTATTGAAACGGTTTCATGAAAGTTTGCATATCGTGTTGCTTGTAATTCACAGTAAGAAGTCGTTAGGGATCAAAGTGTTTCATGCAAATGCGTTAGACTCAACCTCTGTTGTACTGTCTGTTTTCGAGTCATTATTGTTCGATACCTCTTTAAGTTA